CAATACAGACTTCTATTTGCACAGTAACACGCAAGTGCCTTCCTGCCCTCAAGAACCGGAACTACATTGACCGTACGAGCTCGGTAAGGTTGGGAATTGCGAATCTAGCGTTGGTAGTGATAACTGGATAATACAATGGCCAGATCCTACAACCTAGTGAGCTTTTCCTTTACTTGTGCAGATCCGACAGGTTAACCGAATTTACTACTTGGTCGGTTACACCCTAGAGGCTCTCAACTCTCAAGATCCCATCACAGGAGGCGGCAAGTACAACGCAAAGGAACGCAAAGGCAAGGGAACACACCCACAAGGCAACCCTACGGCCAGATCCACGATCTAGGCCCCGGATCCATAAGCTCGAATATTCGCTTAGGATTCGGAACCATCCACGGACGCAGAGTGAAGATTTTCCACTGCTGCTCCACCCCATCCCCACGTCTCGCCAAGACACTCACGCTTCACCACTGGAACGCTTCGGAAGTTACCGAGAGAGCAAGATCCCGCCCTACCGACGGGTACACAAGGTGAGGAAAGTTCAGCAGAACACGGATCATCGGGGGACCCCCTCCGTTAGACGGTGTCTGGGCGCTGTTGGTAAGTTGGATCCAGCAATCTCGCAGATTTTGCTGATCCCGCTATACCACATAAGCTTTCCTTTACACGTGCAGATCCGAAAGGTTAACCGGATTTACTACTTGGTCGGGTATACCTAAGAAGCTCTAAACTCGCAAGATCCCGCTACAGGAGGCGGCAAGTACGATGCAAAGGAAATAAGAGGCAAGGGAACACACCCGCAAGGCAACCCTACGGCCAGATCCGAGATCTAGGCCCTGCATCCACCAAGCTCGAATATTCGCTTAGGATCCAAAAACATCTACGGACGCAGAGTGAAGATCTTACCACTACTGTTCCACCCCTTCCCCACGTCTCGCCAAGACACTCAAGCTTCACCACTTGAACGCTTCGGAAGCTACCGAGAGAGCAAGATTCCGCCCTACCGACGGGTACACAAGGTGAGAAAAGTTCAGCAAATCACGATCATCGGCCCCCCCCCCGCTAGTCGGTGTCTGGGCGCTGTTGGTAAGCTGGATCCAGCAATCTCGCAGGTATTGCTTATCCTGCTACACCACAATGGTGCGCGTGCCCGGATCTTTTGGTGACTCGGGATTTCATCGTGAGTCCCAAGAAGATGCTCAAGTGAAGATTGAGCCAGGCATAGAGGCGTCACCGGAGGTCGGATCGACGAAGACGCTGCTGAATGAAGCAAGATCCGCGGATCGATGGAGTCCTGGGAGGAACGCTGTCGACGGAAGAGAGGTGGATCCGGATCCGGATCTAGAAGAAACCTCTCTATCCTCCCCAGGTCCCCTTGGGGCCC